ACGCGGAAGGCCGTGTGTATGTGACTCCATTCACCCGGGAGTCCAGAATAGGGAGTGCTACAGAGCCGGGAAGTGGTGTCCCTTAGGGCTGGGGGCTGGGGGTGGGAGGGCTGGCGACAGGGGACAGAGTTTGTTTTGGGGTGATGAGAACGTTCCCAAATTGCCTGTGGTGCTCATTGATGGCACGTGTTGGGAATGTACTAAAGGCCACTGAATCCTACACTTTAAATCTGTGAACCACCTTCTTTGTGACCTCCAGCCTAGTAAGTGCTGAAGAGTCACCACGGGCCCTAGAGCCAGGCTCCGGCAGGAGCTGAGCGCTCAGTACTCTGCGCCCGGCCAGCCACCGAGCCTCTTTGCACCTGACATGCCCACCTGTTGAGCGGGGGGGCAGCGGTGCCAGCCCTGCAGGGGGTGTGAGGACTGAGATGGTCCCTGTGAAGCCTGAGGACAGTGGCCGGGGTGCTCTCTGCCTTCTCCTTGTTTGGATCATGGAGGCCTCCGGAGTGGAATGCACGAGGCTGGCAGACCCCGAGAGCTGTGCCTCCGAGCCACCAAAAAGGCCGGCCCCTCTTGGCACTGCTTCCAGCCCAGAGCGGAGCTCTGCAGAGGCGGCCTGTGCAGAGCCCGGCTGTGGGGCAGGGAGCAGGGGGCAGGGGGGCGGCGGGGGCCTGCACTAGCCCTGCGTCTGCCCTCCAGGAGCCCGGATGGGAAAGCAGAGCTTCTCCAGCCCCTCCTGGGAGAAACAGGAAACAGACTGGAGGGCAGAACCCCCGCCCCAGAGGCAACATTGCAGGCCCCACACTGATTCCAAGACCTGAGCCCAGGGATGAGAGCCGAGAGCCGCTCACTCCGAGGACGAGGACGTGGGACGGACGGAGCTGTGCTCAGCTTGCTGGCTGGCCTGCCCAGCTCCACAGAGCAAGACAGACCAGGGGCCCAGGCCCTGGTAACCCCTTCTCCCCCTGCAGCTCAGCACCCTTACAGGATCCTCTCTCTGCCCTCCAGGCGGACGTGAGGTTGGCCCTGATGGGGCACCAGAAGTGTCAGGCTCAGCCCAGCCTGCCCCACCCGGGCATGCACCTGTCCTCATCCCCAGTGCATGCCCGCCTCCTGGACCCCCTAACCATCCCCCCCGCCGCAGTGGTGGTCCTCAGCCTAACGCAGGCTGGCGCTAGTCAGCTCCCCTCTCCTCGTGCCTCATCAGAGCGGCCCCGCAGGGCCCTTCCCTCATCTCAGCTGCTATTTATAGCCTGCGTCTCTGCCAGAGCCGGTGGACACGCTGCAGCATAAACACGGCCGTGGCTTTGGGAGGAATTCTGGGCCAGACAAAATTAAGCTGGTGACTCTGGCTCATATTAAAAGTGAAGGGAGAAGCAGGGCCGGGGGTGGCAGGGAGAAGGTGGGCCGCGGCCCGGTTTCATGCTTTGAGTAGAGACTCATCTGCTCCCAGGAGAGTTCTTGCCGTGTGAGGCCCTCCTGCAGCACAGTCTTCCCTGCAGGGCCTGGTCTGCCGGTGGCGGCTCGGTCCTGCATTCTCTCTGTGGGCACTTCGGGGATGTGGGCGGTCCCCTAGTTCAGGTGGAGTGCCCGGGGGACCCAGGGAGCAGGGCACACCTGCCAAGTGGTGGGGCCCGGCCCCAAACCACCTCACCCCTCTCTCGTTCATTTGTCCACCAGATGTGAAGTAGGTGTCTGCCTGGCTGGGTGTCTGGACACGGGCAAGTGCCCGTTCTCCCGGAGCACCCAGTGAGGGGGACAGTTAACAGACCGGCAAAACAAACTTCTGGAAAGATGTCACGGGCCATAAAGAAGTGAAAACGGTGTGGAAGAGGGATGGGGTATTTAGTGGTCGGCAGCGGCCTGAGGAGAGGGCCAAGGGCAAGAAAAGGCGCAAAGGCCCTGGGGCAGGGACACGTTGTGGTTAGAGTACAGGAGCAGGGTCGCTGCCTGGGTGATGCCTCCAGCTGCCTGGGGGCAGGGCCGGGTGCTCAGTGCGTGCCCCGAGTGACTGCATGCGGGAGTCTTAGCCTAGGGCGCATGGGTCGCAGCAGAAACCGACCTTCCAGAGCGCCTTCCTCTATCTGGCACTGTTCATAGAGGGTTTGACACTCAGCAACCTTGGAAAGGAGGTGCCGCCTTACCAGGCGAGAAACCAAGGCTCAAAGGAGGCACGTGGTAGGGGGTCAGGGAGCAACGATCCGAACTGCAGAAAGGCGGGCCCCCACCAGGAGAGGGCAAGTGGGGGAGTTCCCCTCCCTGGGACAGGGAGGCCCAGGGGGACCCGGGGCCTTCACAGGGGCCAAAATCCTCCCTGCATGCTGTGGGGGGGCCCCCTGGGTGTCAAGAGGGGAGCTTGAGGAACACACGCCCGAAGTGTCCCCACCACCTCTGGGGCAACTGGTCAGTCTGCTGTGGACGCAGAGGAGGTGCCCGCCCACCATCGTCAAGGGTCCCAGTCAGGCACCCCCCTTGCCATGAGGGAGTGGATGGGGCCCCCTCCTGCCCTGTCTGAGGTCAGAGGGGCCAGGAGCCGAGCAGGGCCCCCCAGAGCCCAGCCCAGGCTGTGTGACCGCCCCCCCGACACCATCCACCTGCAGCTCTCACTCCCGCCACCAGCCGAGGAACAGCTCGCGTCTGGGAAATGTCTGCTTCCGACTCCTTCCGCCTGAGTCCGGGACCCGCTGGTGCACCTCTGGCCCCGGCTGCTCCTCACAGCCCGGCTCACTCCTGCCGGGAGAGGACACAGCTCATTTGGTCAGTCCGGAGAAACAGCTGAGCCGCGGCAGGGCTGCCCTGCAGCGTGAGTGCCCAGGGCTTCCAGACCCCCATCCGTGCAGTCGCCGCTCTTCCTGCTGTCAGAAGGGGCATTTTCACCGGATTCCTTAAACAGCACCCATGGGTCCCAGGACAGCCTGGCGTGGCTTCCTCTTCAACTCAGGAAGCTGTCATGTTCTCAGAGGATGAGGGCCCTGCTCTGCTGTCTCTGCCAGTAACGCGGGCAGGCTTGGGGACCCAGATCTGCAGGGGGCAGGGAGGAAGGCAATGGCAGCCTGCTGAACAAAGAACTGTAATTTGGCAGCTGTTACTTTCGGGGGAGACGCTGGGGTGAGTTACCAGCTGTCCCAGTTTGCCTAGCACTGAGGTTGCTGGGGTGCAGGATGTCTGGTGCTAAACCCAGGACAAGCCAGGGCCATTGGTCACCCATGACCAGGGATGCTACAGGGAGCAAGACAGGGCGTCCTGCCCCTCTGGAGGGTCTCCCCCCTTCTCCAGGGGTGGCAGACCAGGAAGCCGGCAGCCAGGACTGCAAGTAAGAGCCAGCAACCTGGGGCCCTGGGACCAGGGGCGCCCAGGAAGGCCTGGCTGGGTCCCTGCCCCTCTCTGGTGCTCACCTCACCCCCAGCCCGTCAGGCCAGGATCATGATCTCAGCTTTGCAGATGAGGTGAAGGAGATTCAGGTTGGCAAAGGGCCTCCCCCAGGGTGAAGGGTCAGGGCACAGTCAGACCCCAGCTTCGCCTCCTGCTTAGCCAGGGGCCTGCCCACCACCCCTGCAGCCCGGGGCTGACCTCAGGGCCGCAAGCCCCCCTCCTCCTGGGGAGAGTGCCAAGGGGGAGGGTTCCTCCAGGAGCTGTGCTCTGGCCTGCCTCCCGCTCCCCGGGGGCCAAGCAGAGCTGGGGACGCTGATGGGCAGGCTGGGCAGCTCTGAGGATGAGCCATAGGCCAGTCCTCAGCTGCCCTAGCGAACAGCCCACACAGTTCTCTGCAAGGAGGAAAAAAAAAACAGATGTAATGAGCCAGCCGCCCTTCACTGATTCGCACATAATCGTATCTTTCCCTTAATGGAACCAGCAACCACGGCGCCCTGACACCTGCTGTCTCCATTTTCCCCATTGACTCAAGAGGTTCAGACCATGCCTGCTCGGGCTCACTGCTCAGCGGACATCACTGAGGCCTGCGCCTGCCGGCCCATGCCTGCACGGGGCGGAGAGCCACCCCCCGGCCCCCGCCCTGCTCTGCCACTGTGGTCGCAGCGTGGCCACCCTCTCGGCTTACCTCTCTCTCTTGCTGGACTGTGAACTCCCTCAGTGGTGGGACTGTGTATTTCTGTGGCTATCACCTTGGCTGCAGGTGCCAGTGGGGGTGCAGGGCGTGGCCATGAAGGCTGCCCAGGGCTCTCCAGGGCCTCTCCCAGCCCCCGACCAGGGGGAGCATCCCGGAGCTGTGTGAGGTGGGGCATGGGGCTTTCACCGGGTGAAGGTGGAGTGCTGCGGGGGCAGGCTCTGGGGCCTTCCCGGAGGCGGTCTGCCCCCGTGTCAGCCGCTCTGAGAAACGCTTTGGTCCGAGTATTTCCATTCCTGGGGCCATATTCTAGGAATGTAAGTCCAGAGCTGAGACAAAGCTCAGTATAATCATGTATACATCAGAGGTGAGAAGGGGGCCCAGCCTGACTGTGGCAGGTGAATAAGTCATGGTTTACCCCCTTTAGTGGAATCCCCTGCAGCCTTTGAAAGCATTCTCACCAAGAGGGCAACACGTGGGGCATGTGTACATTCTCATGGTCGCTGAGTAGCAGTGGGTCTGGCAGAGGCCCAGCCAGGAGCCCGCCAGGCACCGGCACCAGGGCTTCCACATTCTCATCCCCCCTAGTTTCTGGGTCTAACCTGGTTTTCCTCCACCTGCAGGAGCCCCTGGGGATTGTGGCCAGGGCTCAGCTCTTCTAGGCAGAAGTGCTTGGAGGTCCTCCCAGAACCCCAAGCACGCCGGAGGCCTTCTCGGCCCCTCCAACATGGCACAGACCCTCTGGGTTACAGCTCTGGCCCCAAGCCTGTCTACTAACCTGTACGTCACCTGGGCCATGTATCTGTGTCCCAGCACCCAGCCTGACACACGGGGGGGCAGCCTTGGTGGGTGCAGGAGTGGGGATGGACAGACCGGTGGACGAGTGGGGAGACTGGCCGGGTCATGGCCCTGAGTCTGTGTCCTGTGTCTTTTGTAGATGTGCTGGTGGACGGACAGCCGTGTGACTGTGAAGCGGCGGCCTGCCACGTGGGTGACCCCATAAGCCTGGAGGTGCGGCTGACCAACCGGAGCCCACGCAGCGTGGGGCCCTTTGCCCTCACTGTGGTCCCCTTCCAGGACCACCAGAATGGCGTACACAACTACGACCTGCATGATGCCATCTCCTTCGTGGGCTCCAGCACCTTCTGCCTTGACACGGTGTGTGGTGGGCTGGGGCCCGTGGGCAGCCCCCCGTGGTCGCCGTCCCAGTGCTCCATTGGCCCAGGCAGTGGGCTTAGGGCTCGGCAGACACAGGGGCTTCTCTGTCTGTGTTGACCCCTGTCCACCTGACTTGCCGTGACCTGGGAGTGAAGCCCGGATGGCAAGGCCACCCCCTGAAGGTTGTTAAGGTGATGAGGTGAACAGAGAGGGCCTAGGACAGTGTTCGATCTTGCTGTTGTCCAGCCCCGTATGGCCCTCATGCCCTGCTCACCTGTTGAGGTGGTACCTTCACCCTAGCCCGTCCCCACACTCCCTGAACCCCCAAGCGGCCCAGGGAGGGAGGTGCTATCCGATCCCTCCCGACAGCGCTGGGGCCCAGGGAGATGCAGTGACTGCAGGGGCAGCAGGGCAGGTAGGCCCTGCAGGGACTAGGAGCAAGCCTGGGGCCTCCCCATGTGTCCGGACAGGCTCAAGGGCTCCCTGGTCATCTCGGGGTCCACGCCGCTCCGGGTTGACGCCGGTCCCCTCCCCTCCCCTCAGGTGCAGCCGTCGGGCCAGTCGGCCTGCCTGGGAACCCTGCTCTTCCTCTGCGCTGGCGACTTCTTCCTGCACATCCGCTGCCACGCGGACGGCTCGGGCAAGGAGCTGCCGCAGTCCTGCTTCTGCCTGCCCAGTGTGCACGTGCGCGCCCTGCAGGCGCGGGCCTGAGCCCCTCCCGGCCCCCGGGTTCCTGTTCCTTCGGGTGGGGGTGCCCAGGCGGCCGCAGAGCCCAGCCTGGCCCCTGCCCCCATCATGGCTAGGCACTCCCCGAGGCACCCGACCCCTGCCCTCCTCCCCGGGCCCCCGCCCCGTCCTACCCTTTCTCCTGCAGCGTGGATCCTGAGCTGGCTGCGTAGCTCGCAGACACGGCAGCCTCACGCCTCCCCACAGTGCCCCCCGGGGTCCCTCCACTGGAGCCTGGCACTATGGATTTGTGTGCTGACCAGACCCCAGAGGCCGGCCCCCACCCAGCCCCGATACGGGCACCTTGCCCCTGGGGGGTGCCAGCCCAGCCAGGAAGAGGCCAAGGCAGGTGTGAGGGCAGAGCTCAGCCCGGTGGGCCTGGGAAGCCGCCGCAGCCCCCTCCACTCTTGGAATCCCCAGAGGCAGCCTGGGCAGGAGAGATGGTGCTGAGGGGTGTGGACACCAGGGGTTCCAGCTGCCCCCCTATAGCAGGCAAGTGTCAGAGCCTGTGCCAGCTCTTCTGGGCCCTGGGCCGCTTCCAGTCCGGCCTCTGGGCTGCCACGGCCCGTGTGCCTCTGTGTGTCCGTGACATATTGTCCAGTAAGGGGCCTGCCTTCTGCTCTGCTGCTCCCTGTCCGTGCAGCTGCTTGTCACTTGTGGGCAGGGGGCCGCCCTGCCTGCTCAGCCCCCAACTCAGGTGGGGGTTCTAGCACATGGGGCACCCAACAGAACCCCCTTGACACACAGCTGGGGCCAGCACAGCTGGCCATTGTCTGTCCCTGTGACCCCCAGCCCCTCCCTGCATGCATTTTTTGGGCCTGGCCTCTCAACCCTCTTGGACACTGACCTGACCCCCAGGCCAAGGTCCCCAGCTGCCACCATGGCTCTGGCCATTTCTGCCTCTTGCTTTCTCACATGAGGTCCATGCAGCATCTGCCTCTTGTATCCCACACACATGCCTGGGAAGACGTTGGGGTAACAGCGGCATCAAGAAGTGTGGGCGCACGTTGTGTCTGGGGGGTCCCTGGTGAGATGCAGATGGCCCCTGATGAGGCCGCGGTGGCCCTCAGACCCACCCCGGGAGCTGGCACTCCAGCCTCCCTCCCCTTCTGTCCGTTCCCCTCTGGGTCCCCCTCCCTGCTCGTCCCTGGAGCACCCACAGACCACCTGCGGCCCCCACCCCAGCCCGATCAGAGCCCAACCCCTCCCCCCAGCAAACTCACTCTCACTTCCTAAGCGGAATTCTGGGGCCAGAGAAAGATCAAAAGCCCTAAGGTACAGAGAAGGGGTAGGGTGAAGCCAGGGGTGTCCAAGACTCTTGGGGGTCCCCCCATTCCCGCCAGGCCACCTAGGCATCGGGTATAGTGCTGACTCATGGGGCAGAGGATGCTCGCGGGGTCTGGGATGCGCTGCCCCCATCACCAGGTGGGACGCTGAGTCTCTGAGTGCCTGGAGCACACGGCAAGAGGCGGGGGCCGAGCGGGCTCAGCGTCCAGCACGCGGCCTCCTGCTGCTCCGGTGCTGTCACTCTGGGGGAGAACCAGGAGCCCCTCCACCCACACTTCACCCTCTGTTCACAGGCCCTCGGGCACCCAGGCCTCACAGGCCAGGCCGCCCCCAGAAGCACCCACGGGGCTGGGAGGGCGCTGGGATGGGAGTCCAGCCTCGCCCCCGGCTGTGGCCCTGAGCAGGAGCTCCTTATTCAGCCACGCAGAGCTTCCGTGCCTGTGCCGGCGCGCTCAGTCCATCGGCCCCCACAGGCAGGCCGGGCTTCTCACTGAGGCCTGCCCTTAGCCACCGTCCCTGCATGGCCAGAATTGCAGCTGCCGCCTGCCCAGGACTGGAAAAAGGGCGCGGAGCCCCCTGGCCACACCTGGTTCTCAGCTGCCCAGAAAGGGTCTTAGCTCGAATGCCCCATAGCAAACCCTGGGACCGGGATCTGAGCCCGAGGGAGGCCGAGGATGTGGGGATGGGGAGGGTCAGAGGGAAGAGAAAGCAAGTGAGGGTGCACTGGGGTCCCTGGCACTGAAATCCCCAGGGGACTTTGGGGGACAGTGAGAACATGCCTCGGAAGCCCCCAGCCCAGGGGCCAGAGAGTTGGCCTGTGCACTCGACCCCCTGAGGGCTCATCCCGCTGCCGCCTTCCCTGCGTGAGCAGTCCAGTGGCACCCTGCCTGGGCTGGTGAAGGACGCCAGCCTCGGGAGTGGCTGAGGCCGTGGGGCTCCAGGGACCTCTGGGGGCAGTGAGCAGGGAGGCGGGGCTTGCCCAAGGCTGTTTCCTGAGACAAGCTGAGTGTGACATGATAGGTACTTGGTCTTTGCCCCCAGTTCCTGACCCAGAGCTACATCCCTTGGGATTTCCTGGGTGACAAGAGCATCTCTGTTCTAAGGAGCTGACTCTGGGTGGGCTTCTGGATTGCAGCTGGTCACCAGAGACCCGAGCTGATTAGAAGTTTGGAACCTTCAGCCCCACCCCCATCCTCCAGGGGCTGGGGAGAAGGGTTGAAGCATAGGAGCTGACTCTGGGTGGGCTTCTGGATTGCAGCTGGTCACCAGAGACCCGAGCTGATTAGAAGTTTGGAACCTTCAGCCCCACCCCCATCCTCCAGGGGCTGGGGAGAAGGGTTGAAGCATAAGTTAATGACCAAGCTTACCTACATGCTGAAGAAGCCTCCACACAGTTCCCTACACCGTGGAGTTTGCAGAGCTTCCTGCTTGGTGACTGCATCCCCATGCCGCAGTGTGGCACACCCCGACTCCCTGGGGACAGAGCTGCTGAACCCAGGGCCCTCCCAGACCTTCCCCGTGTACCTCTTCATCTGCCCGTTCACCTGCACCCTTTGTGAAGTCCTTTATAATAAACTGCCAAACGTAAGTAAAGTGTTTTCCTGAGTCCTGTGAACTGTTCTAGCAAGTTATCAAACCTGAGGATGGGGTCAGTCGTGGCATCCCCAGTTTATAGCTAGTTGGTTAGCCAGGATGCACAATGGGCATCTGTGGTGGGGGCCGTCTTGGGGGACCCAGTCCTTCACCTGTCAGGTGTGTGCTGATGCCAGGTAGGCAGTGTCAGAGCTAGTTGGTTTGTGGGACACCCAGCCGGTGTCCGGCAGGTGGGATAATTGGCCTACGGGAAACTCCCCACACCTGGTGTAGGCAGTGTGAGTAGAAGAGTCTTTCTTCACTGAGCCAGGAAGGGAAGGGGATCCCATGGGGTAGTGTCGGCTCAGCTGTCCTTTCCAAGGGCCTGAAATTCCAGGCTCAGGCTCCCCTCCAGGAGCAGGGTCTCCTACAGCCTGTGTTCCAGCTGTCCAGCTGTGGCGGCTGGGGGTGGGCATGCTGTGCACTGTGCAGGAGCCCTGCGGCCCCACAGCTCGAGGGTATACGGTCAGCTGCCTGTGGCTCTGGGTTTCCAGGGACAGCAACCCCAGGGGGACCTCCCCTGAGGGCGTGGGGACCCTGGGAGGCCTCAGCCTTCCCAGGTGGACACAGCATAGCAGGGGGGGCCATCTGTCCCAAACTCCTCCAGGCGTGACCATCCATCCACACTTCCCCCAGACAGGGCCAGGTCTGACCCATTCCCCAGGCTAGGCTCTGCATGTGTGGGTCATAATGATGCCCCTCCAAGCAGGAGGCCATGGCTACATCATGTTCCAGCTCGGCCACTTCCCAACTTATTGTCTGGGGCACCTTTGCTGTTAGGAATGGATGAGGGATTTCAAGAAAAGGGCTTATCGCACTGCCCTGCGCAGAGTGGGTGCTCAGTGAATGGGCCATGGGCCCCGTGGGTCTAGGAATGTGCCTTGCAAGTCCCTGGGTGGCCTGGGACTTCTGCAAGATGTCCTGCTGGGGTGTCCCTTCTGCGCACCTGTTAGAGGTAAGTCACCCTGACGGGGTGGTGACCAGGTGAGCCTGCTCATCACCAGCTCATATCCAGCTCGTGTCCAAAGACACACTCAGAAGGAAGCCAGAACAACCCCTGGCTATCACTCTGAGCTCTGGGGCTCAGCTGCCTGGCGCCAGGCAAATGGTAGGGAAAGTGAAACAATTGAAGGTCCTGGTTGTTCTCAGCCCCAACCTGAGGAAGGGGCCTGGGGCCCCACTAGACATAACTGCATCAGCCTGAATGCCACCTGCCCCAGCCAGCCAGGAGCCATGGATGCAGCTCTGCCAATGGGCAGGCAGGCAGGTGGCACTGCCCATCAAGGGTACCCAGGGCATGGAGCCCATGGGTGTGGTGGAAGCACCCAGGGAAGCAAGGGCCAGTGGTCTAGACCCAGGGGTAGAAGGATCAGAGAAGTCTTCCTGGAGGAAGTGGCAGGGAATGGGGGTTGGAGGGGTGAGAGGAGGAGGCAGAACTCTCCAGGAGGGCGGGAGGGCCGAGTGAAGACCCGGAGGTAAAACCATGGGCTCACATGCCCTGGGGATGTGGGTGGGCCACTGCCCCTCCTCTCAGCCTCTGGTGAGGGGGCCTGTGCTCCGCTGGAGCAAGACCGGTCAGAAGGCCATGACCTTGTGGGGACAAGGGGGAGGGGCCCAGCCTTGCTGGGGGTCCAAGAAGCCTTTCCAGGATGACTGACACTGCACTGGGCGCTGCTAGTAGTCACGAGGGGAAGAAGATGGAGGAAGGGTGTTTAGTTAGAAGGAACAGCAGGTGCAAAGGCCTGGAGGCAGGGGACAGGCCAGAGGGGAGACACATGTGAATAGTCAGGACAGAAAGTAGACGGCCCAGGCCCTGAGGAGGGGCAGAGCCTGCCCATGACATAGGCTGGGAAGCCCTGGGGCCGGTGGATTCTCCCCAAAAGGAGCCCATGGGATCCAGGGGAGGACAAGCCGGGAGGCAAGGATTCAGAAACAGGCAGGAGAGGGAGAGAGCAGAGGTCCTGGGCAGGAGGTGTCCAGCGGTCTTGGGGGGCCGGGGGGGTCAGCGCGACAGCTCCTGCCTGCTTCTGCTCCGCGTGCCCTCGTCCCTCCTGCCCCGCATCCAGCCTTGTCTTCTATTTTCTCGCACTGAGGCTGTTCCTGCCTCAAGGCCTTGACTGTCCTCTGCCCAGTGGGTGCTCTGCCCTCGGGCCTCACGTGGCTCCTCGCTCTCCGGTCTTGGTGCCACGTCACCTCCACAGCGAGTCTTTCCTGAACACCCTACATTGGTTGCAGCCCTCGCAGGGAGGCGGCCCAGTGTGGGACCACGGCTTGGCTCGCTCCTGCCTCGGGCGCTGTCTTCTGCAGAGTGAGCCCGTGGAAGGTGGCCGGCCCTAGAGGACTCTGGGTGAGAGCTGGCTGAGCGCGGTCCCCAGCCTGGAAGGCCCCCGGAGCAGGGCTGGGCCGAGTGGGGCGCCTGGAGCTCCAGCGAAGCTCACGCTCTGCCTGGCCACGTCACTTCTCTGAGCTTTTGATTCCTCATCTGTGAAAGGGAGAGAGAATGCCCGCCTGAGGATTATATCTCAAGGGCCTGGAGCAGTGTGGCCAGGTCTGGGTGCCCAGAAAATGTTTGTTGGATGAAAGGAAAAACGCAGCCATCTACCACCTTTGAGGCAGGCCTGGCTCTGCCACCTGTGAGATGTGTGACCTTGGCAGTGGCTTCCCCTCCCTGGGCCTCAGCATCCCGTCTGTAAAGTGGGATTTGCCCTGTTTCAGCTCCAAACCCACCATGCATAGGGGCAGAAGAGGTGGTGCTTTCATGAGTCTCCTGCCCCAAAAGTGCTCTGTACCATCCAGATGGGGCACTCCAAGGCAGGCAGGACCCCAAATTCCACCATGTGAAAAACAGTGAGCAAAGCCAAATCACGATGCTCGTGGTCTGCATGTGTGTGCCCCCAACCCCTGCCCTGCACGTGCACACACACGCACAGTCAGGGACGAGAGGACGGGCAGAACCACCTGCAGGCTCCCTGCTGCCCAGCAGATGTGCTCCTAAGGACCCCCACCCGCCCAAGAGGAAGGAGGACGGATTGGAACCCAGGAGAGGGAATACCGGGCGAAGACCTTGGGCAGCCCTGCAGAGGGCACGACATCTCTTCATCGCCGCATGGCTCCTCGGGCAAAACAGGAACAGCAGAATGCCCGCTCCCGGGGGACTGGAGGGATCAGCCGTGTTTACGGAGACGAAGTCCGGCCGAACGGCCGACGGGATCAGGCGTCACCAGGGACGCGTGCCGAAGAGGTGCTGCTGAGCGGAAGGGCGTGCTGCTCGGTGACGGGCGCACCTGCCCGCACTTAGGTGACCCCCGCAACGCCCGACCGAAAGCATTTCGTATTTTCCATGCATCAGAAAGTTTCTATAAAATCATCTCTAAAAGATGGATAGGATCCACACCTTCCTTGGTATGGTGTGGCCTCCTTTGGGGTTGAAAGGGTGTCACAAGGGGATGCAGACGGGGGCACTTCAGTCATACTGCACTTTTCTTTTTAAAAGTACAATAGGGAGAGAGAGAGGAAGATACTAGAGATGAGAAAGAGGGGTGATGGAGAAAGAGAGGGCGATGATGGACAGAGGGCGATGATGGAGGGAGAGAGAGACAGCGTCTGACAGAGAGTGCTAAGTAGATGGGTGATTGCTACTGTTCTTGGACATTTTCTCTACTTTTTAGTTTCCAAACAAACAAAAAAATACAGGTTACCAGGGAAGAGAGTGAATGAAATGAGAGTGAAGTCTCAAAGGGCAGGAGGCCAAGTTGTCTGCTTGGATGAGGGGCTGTTAGAAAAAACCCAGGTGCTCTGGAAAATGGCCCAGGTGCGCCTGCACTCTGACAGCCCAGCTGAGGCCCCGCGCGGAATGCCGCCGCTGTCCTCGAGTGGGGGACGGCCAGAGTGGGGCAAGGACAGAGCGCGTGCTCTGTGAGAAGCCGGGGCTTAGTGGTGAGGTCAGCAGGAGCCAGGGAGCCATGTGACGCGGGGGTGCACCTGCTGGCATTTGCGCCCTGAGCCGTTGCAGGCACCGAGCTGTGTCAGTGGGCAGTGTCTCAGGCAGGGACCCCAGAAGCAGGTGTCTCAGTGGCGGCCCCACATCCTGTTCTCCAGGTGCCATGCTGTTGGTTCCTGGGCAATGCAGTCCTACAGCTGGTGTGTCTGCAAGCACCCTCCTGCCCAAAGGCCAGAGGGAGCTGAACCGGGACTAGACTGTGTCCTTCTCCTCACCAGATGAGCTGCGTTGGTTTTGCCTTCCTGGCATCTGTCCCTCCGGGCAGGATAGGCCTGCGGTGGCCCCGTGATCACCCAGCCATCACACTCTCTCCTCGGAAATTCACCGCGCAGTGTGAGTGTCCGTAGGGAGATGTCTGAGGGGCTGACCTCCACCTCCGCCACTTGCCAGCTCTGTGGGCAAAAGACAAGTCACTTTTTTCCTCTGAATAAATGGGGCTAAAAATTCTTATTTTATGGGCACATGTATGCTAGTAGTTTGCTTTGATCTCCTCAATGCATGAGAGCAACTTCTTGGAGAACGCTGAGTCCCTCCCGGCTCCTTGCCTGTCTCTGTTCTCCCCACCCACATGTCCCAAAGGTG